TTAATTTAGAAGCAGGAAACTAGGGACCAGAATGATGAAGCTATATTTCCTCCTCTAATAAACAGGGTTACTACCCACCCAGGCTTCAGTTTGGGCAGTGTTGGTAAAACTGGTGAGTCCCACTGAAACCCAGAAATCTCTCCTACTTTCATTCAAGGTGGAAAACAGCTGCTTTCTCCTCCATTGGGTGGAGGACACTTTTCAGGGCCTCCAGCAACATTACGGTCCCCAAATAACACTAGGTATCTTAGTGTTTCTCAACTCTTTGGCAATTGTTACTTCTCATTTGTATTATCTTCCATCGAGAATACTTCCTGGGTCCAAGAAATTATTATCACCTGAAGCTGGAACCTGTGTGTTAACCTTGGATTTGGTCCATCTCAAGAAATCATCACTGCTCCAATCATCATTGGATTTGGTCCATCCCAAGAAATCATCATGGCTAAGAACATCACCCTAACTTCTTACTTCTCCCATCCTGCCACGGATATGCTGCCTTCTTAAGACTGTCAAATTATTCATACTTGATGGAGTTTCTGTCCTACATGCCTTCCCCTCAACTGTTTGTTCCTACTGAATCCTCCATTTTTTTCTTATGCCGTTTCTGCTTGGCCTCGCTTGGCCTTTGGTCTCCGTGCAGTGCACTTGCTACCCTCTCCATAAGTCTCTAAGCACAGTTGTACTTTGTAAAGGTACAACAGGAGGCATGGTCTAACAAGGTTCTTTTTCTGAATCCTAAATTAATTTATACTCAAACTTTATTAAAGTCATAAAATAACTTGCTTATTCTAGAGTTAGTAAGTCAACTGTCTTTGAGGGGCAAAATAATTCTAAAATTACCCCCAAATAGTACGTGATAAATAAAACATGTGTACTCACTGTACCAACCCTAGATTCCTCACCCACAGAATCACTGTCCTCTCTTTCAATGGGCCACGATTTCTAGTCCCTCTAGAAATGGCTCTGTCTTGACCATGCAGGAAGGTGAAAAGAAGCCTCCCGATTTTGCTGAGTGAACTTAAGGACTCCTTCCAACACCACTTCAAACTAATAACACAAAGGAATCCACCTCTTTGGGTCCAAGTCTCCTAACCCAGGAAGGGAAGAGAATTAGGTGCTCTCAAACTTAAAAAAACAAAACAAACAAAAAAAAACACACAACAACAACAACAACAAAACACCAGAAACCGTTTTTAAGCTGAAATCTTACATGGAAGGAAAAAGAAAATAGCACAGGGGCAAACGATAAAAGCAGAACCTCTCATGAAATGTCAGAGCTCCATGAAGCAGAGTTTGAAAAATCATTGGATTGGATCATCCTAAAATCCCTTCCAAATTAAATGTTATTTTTATGATTTCCATCTAAAAAAGTCTCCAACCTCCTAAGACATATTGCTTAGGAATAGATGGGAGTGATTCTATTCAGGAGGAAAGGAGTGAGGGGTGGATTACGGTGCCTCGTTGAACCGAGAGAACCCCATGCCCCAAACCATCTTGGTCCTTGGAACCTTCCCTGCTGGACGGTGAAGGCTTGAGAGCACAGGAAAGTTCCCGATTCCAGCCGAGGACCAAGCCCCAGATCCCTTAGCAACAGCTGCAGAGGGAAGCCTCCTTTTATATCAGCAGATGGTGGTGGGCCTTCCCAGCTCTACGGCACCTTCTTATAATGGATTCCTGGCTACTATTAGAATCTTCTGGACACTGTCTAGCAACCAGCACCCCTTGGTAACTAAGGAGCAATCATTCCATCAGAGCCCATGATTGCTGCTTTTCTTATCACTGCATACTTTTTCCATTTTCTGCATAGATGATACTCCCTGTGTCTAAATGTAAATCCTTTAAATAATTTGTATATCAGAGGACAGATGCCAAAATCCAGAAATTCACAGAAAATCAAAGTGAGTTAGTTGTATTTTAAAAATAACCTGCTTCTGTAACCAACTTCTGCTTTGCATACAAAATACCTAGGGATAGTGATTAGAAGGTCGCCCAACGTTCTGTCTGCTGCAATAAATCAGTGTGACATTCCAAGTCTCACAAGAGTTCAGGGGACAAGGCCTTATTCCTCCAACTACGTAACTATGTGACCTCGGTCAAAACACTTCACCTCCAAGTAGTTTCTTCCTTCATAAAGCAAGAAAGATGAGCTGATGATCACAGAGGCTCCTTGGGGTGCTCACATCTCATGACCTTTGGCTTCATTTTTGACCAGGGTCTTTGTATGTCTTCAAGTCCAGACCTCTGAGTTTTTTCCTAATCCCTAGAGTTTCCCCCCATGAGCTCACAATATATTTCTTGTAATAGTTCTTAGTGTTATGTTCAAAGTGCAGGGCAGGGCTTGCAAGACCCCAAGGCAGGACACAGGTTCTAAGAAGTCAAAAATGCAGGGTCCCCAAGTGAGCCTGTGGTTGGAAATGACAAATTTCATTCATGTGTCTATCGGCCAATTCTGTCTCTCCGAAAATATTTAACAGTTCCTTGCTATTTGCTGGAGCATCTATAGACCTGCAAGATGAGACACGGTAACTTAAAGCATGAATCATCTAGTGGGGAAAGAGACGACACACACACTTGAGTTAGATAAATAAAGCCTTAGGCCACAGGTGATTCAAGAATAAATATTCACAGAAGGCTACCAAGGGTAGAACTGGACCTTTCCATTTGCAAGGGAGAATCATGTGGGGACGATGGTTGATACAGAGCATTCTTGGCCAAGGGAATTCCCAACACACTTACGAACTTGAATGTGGGATAAACATGGAGCATTCCCACACTCAGCGGGGCTCTGTGCTTGGCCTAACACAGTGCTGTCACCACCTGACATTGCCCTCATTTTTGACCAAAGGATGCCATGCTGCCATTTTGGATGGAGCCCCACAATTTATGTCGTGTCCCCCAGAATACCAGCTAGCTCAAGGAAAAAGATCCTATCATGGACTGGCAAGAGATGAAACTGAAGAGGGGGTGGGGATTCAAGGATAGAGGTCCTTAAGTGCTGGGACGAAGTGTTTGGACGTTATCCTATAGAAGGAGGCAGTATGGGCTGCTTTGGGCAGCAGAGCAATATGGTAACATTGAGATTCCAGGATGACTAATTTTGTGCTAACACAGATGGGGGAGACAGGACTGGTTTGAAGACTCTTCATGACCAATGGGTAAGGAAAGGAAGTCCAACGATGTGTAGTGGGAATGGAGAAGAGAGGGAAGATTTGAGAAGCAAGTGAATTACAAGTATTATTCTGTCTTGATAATAAATTAAGGAAAGATGGAGAGACAGAGACAGAGAGAGAGAGAGAGAGGGAAAGGAAGGAATCAGAGTATTGGTGTTACTATGGCTATTGGTAGCCAAATTGTAGGGCTACCAGGAGACTTTGGGGTAACACTTTCATCTGAGAACCTGGCAGTCAGGTGGATGGACACCCTAACACATTTCATTCATGCACTTCATTCATTCAATATTTATTGATCACTTAACACGATGTCCAGGCACTGTTTTAGACACTAAAGATCCAGCCACAAATAAAGCTATAATGAACTCTGTTTATATGAATTTTTTGGTCTAGGGAAAAAGAATGAGGAAAAGGTTAAGCAAATAGTTAAAACTGTGGGTATGCTCTACATCGTTTGGGAAATAGAGGAGGCTTTTCTGCCTCTTTCTCCTGAGAAACCTAAACAAATCAATAAATAAAATTGTTAAGCCTACAACCCTGATTTTATTTCGAGGAGGGGTCATTTCCTGAAGACTAGGCATGTCTCATGTCTCATGTGAGAAGGAAACACGCACAATAAAGTTACTGCAGGAGGGAGAAATAAAAGAACAATCCAGAAGCCAATAATACCTCCCCCCCTTTTTTTTAAATTTTATTTTTTTTTTAAAGATTTTACTTATTTGACAGAGAGAGAGAGAGAAATCACAAGTAGGCAGAGAGGCAGGTAGAGAGAGAGAGGGGAGGAAGCAGGCTCCCTGCAGAGCAGAGAGCCCGATGTGGGGCTCAATCCCAGGACCCTGAGATCATGACCTGAGCCGAAGGCAGAGGCTTTAACACACTTGAGCCACCAGGCGCCCCAGATACCTCCCCTTTTATTTATTTTCTTCCAAATGGTTTTCCACTGGGTTCTTACAAAGAAATGCCTTTTTAAAATCTGCTAGAGAAGTGTTTTTTCTGCAGCTAAGATATTCCCAATGGGCCGTCTCTCTCCCTGATCACAGCTTTTGTTCCAAGGATGGGCATTGACCCAGCCACACTGTGCTTGTCCTGGGAACTTTGGAAATCGGATGGAGAGACAACAAACTCAGGAGCTTTTTTTAGGGGGATGTGTGGCCATTGTCAACTGTGTGAACTGGGAAAATGGTGCAGCTGGCTGATGGAGAGAGAAGAATGCAGTGTGGACAGGAGCCACAGACCGTGGCCTGCAAGTGTTCCCGTCCCCAATTCCAGCTGATTTTCCTCCAAGTCTCAACCGCGTCTCTGTGGCTGAGTTCCGTGAGACACCCAGGTTATCTTTCTAGTAAGTGCTTCTTTTTGCTAGAGCTTGTTCAAGATTTCTGTGATCCGATTCTAATTTTTTTTTTTTCCAACAAAGAGGTTTCCTACTGATGAATGTTGAGGGAAAGCATCCGAGGTGGCAAATGTTATTGGTACAACAAAGGACAATTTTGAGATCTGTTTTCGAATCATGTTTTATCAGCCTGAACTCCTCAGGGGGATGGACTGAGAGCTCATCAGGGGGCCTAGAGATGCACACCCCAGAGCGTGACCTTGGCGGGCCCAGAACCTGACTGACACATGTCACTTCAAGCATCCTGGGTGGCTGTTTACGTTGTGTCCCCTCTGTACAGCGTCAGCCAAAGACCACAAGCCCTGGACACAGCAGAGCAGCCCGCTGAAGGCTCCTCCCTCAGGAAGAGCAGCAGCACACGCCTAGAACTTCACCCTTGACGTTAGCCAGCTGGACCTTTATGCACAACCCATGACTCTGGCACTTCTGTCTTTACAGACACTGGGCATCCTTTATCTTGTCGACAAAGGACGCCAGGAAGCTGTTGGCCATGGTTGGTCAAGCAAGAAGACTCCTGGAGGTTCTGGGTCCTGACTACTGCAGGAAATCAGTACTGTGGGTGCATTAGAGATACAACTCTCTTTTTCTTGCCCAATGGGTGCCCCCCCCCCACACAAAAAAATCCTTTCTTCCATCTGGCGGTATCCCACTCTGGGCCAGATCTACCCTTTACATGAGCAGCCCGAGTCACTTACGGGGCTGGCATGTCCTTCCTTGGGGGTACACAGCTATCGGACTGCCTGGGGAAGAGGACACAGGGCTGCCCCTGATGTGTCTGGCCAGGAGAATGTGGCCGGACATGCCAGGTGGCCTATGCTATTCCTGCTCCGATCCTGGCCATGTTTCCCAAATAAGGCAGAGAGCCAGGACATATTTTTGTGTGTCCCGATGCCTGAGCACACTCTGCTCCCTGCCTTCTGACTCCAGGTACCAATAATAACTACTCCCTGGCCAAGCCCGGCCCGGCGTGCTGATGCACAGCCAAGTGGCCACAGTGACCAAGAAGGTCAAAGGTCCAATGGGTCTACCCGTTAACTGATGGAAGCATCCAGAGAAGAGGGGGTCAAAATGATGACTGGGTTACCGATGCAGCCCTTTGTGGTCTGGGGGTGGGGAGAGGTGAGCCTGGGGTGGGCTGGGGTGCCAGACTGGCCTCAGTAGCCCTCAAAACGAGCAGGCATGTGGGCAAGAGCCTGCGACCAGGCACATACTATTCCTTCTTAATCCTAAAACAGCTTCTGACTCTGGTTCCTTTCAGGAGCCTGGGAGAAGGGCATTCAGAACATTCAGAACAGGCCTTCAAGCCCTGGGCATTCAGAGGGTAAAAATCAGAGCAGTCAAACCCCAAAAGACCAAACTCAGCATCGCCTCATGGTTATTTCAATGATCAAGCCTCGTGGCTCGGTCCAAAGGAGTTTTAGAAAGATGTCTGTTCACACAAACACTGCGAAGCTATTCTTTCGCTAAGCACCACACTCAGTTTGTCCAAACACTTGAAGAAGACTAATTCATGCCTCAAAAGGAATTCTCTCTCACTTACAAAGCTGCCAGGTTTGGGAGCTGAAGGCTTTGCATGTTACAATAGCTCAAGACACCCCAGGGACGAGGAGGCTGGACCTCCAGTGGGGCTCACCATGTCACGAAGGGGGCAGAATCACAGTTTGTGGGCTCTCCTGGATGGTGTTTGAGAGAGTCGGGTGGTGCCAGCCAGCTCTGGCCAGTTTGTACCAGCAAGAAGCAGAGCAAGGAACAGCGGAGCCCATATGGGCTCCGAAGCCAGGGGTACAAGCGTCCAAGTCCCACCTGTTCCATTTATGGGTCGTGAAATCTTAAGAAATTTCCTGAAGGGTGCTTGCATTTCTTCCTCTATGAGTCTGGGGATAAGCAGGGGGCGACTACCTCCCGACGGGATTGTTGTTGTTGCGAGGATTAAATTAGCACCTGCTACACACTCAGAGTGGCGCCCAGCCAACAGTGGGCACCGGATACTTCTGGGGTGCCCTATCAGGGCTGCAGCCAATCTCCTCAAACCCTGCACCCCCCCGTGTGAGGACGGGGGGGCTGCAGGGTCACGCTGTCCCCAGAGCCACCCCACAAATGTCCCTGCTCAGCAGCAGGAATTTTTCCCTCCATCACAAACAGGTCCCTGAGGCACAGAACAGAAACTCGGCAACTGACATAAACAATTTCAAACAATAATTTTAGAAGACAGATCGTTCCATTTGGGCATCCAGATCCCTCTCGGAGGCTTTCCCCACTTGTTTATGTATTCCATGGCGTGAAGCCACGAGTGAATTAAACAGACAGCCTGCACGCTCCCGGGACGGCAGGAGAGGCATGTAGGAGAAACAACTTGCCATTTGACCCGCTTTCCTTGAAAGCTATTGCCGAGGGAGGTCCTTGAGAAAAGGGCCTCTGGTTTACACCTCCTGATGTCCACCCACTCACAGGGAGAGGTCACCAGATCCGAGGCCTGGGGATCCAGGTTCGAGTCCTGCTCTGCCATTTTTCTAAGCGTGTGAATTGGAGGAGGTAATCAACCCCTCCCGGACCTTGGCTTCCCATCTCTACCAGGAAGGTATTATGCCTCCCACTTTCTGTACCCATAAGGAAGGTACCATGACACCCGATGTATAGCAAATTGCAATAGTCCGACTGAAACTCCTTCAGGAGGGGTAAATTACTACGGGGATATTAACAAGGTCCACAGAGCTGTCCGGGGACCCCCTGGAGAACTGGTAACAAAGGGGAAGTAGGGCCTGGAGCAAAGGGCGTGTTTTAGAAGGGCAAAGAAAAGGAATTCTCCCCCAGATGAAGAGGAAAATTTTCATTGCACATCGCTAGAGTCTCTGAATGTCTGTTTCAGTTCTTTTGAGATCGCGAGTGATGCCAGTGGCACACTAGTCTAGCACTTAGAGCACGCACGACTCTTCTGACTACAAAAGAAACGTGTGTGCATTAGAGAAAAATGGGGAATGTGCAAAAGTCCCAGGATGGAAGCAAAATCACTGGTAGTTCACGTGTTTAATGCCTGCCCTGATAACCTGCCAATATTTGCCTTTCCTTCTTCCAATTCACATATGTGCACATATATGCAGGAAACATCTATTCTACAATTTCTCAAGAATGAAACTGTAGGATAGTCGAATACTGAAGCCTCTTTCTTGCCTTCTAGACAGCTTCCCACCTCATTTGGGATCCTTCAAAAGGACCATCTTTAATGTGCACTCTGTCCCATGGTGAGTGGATTTAAACATTCTCCTTTGGTTGAACAGTCCAGGTTTCTCTTTCAAATTTTCTGCAGTAGACAGAACACCCCAAAGACAGAATCTTTGACCTTTCATATGATATATGGAGTCTATAAATACTTATACAATAGACAGTACAAGGGGGCGCCTGGGTGGCTCAGTGGGTTAAGCCGCTGCCTTCGGCTCAGGTCATGATCTCAGGGTCCTGGGATCGAGTACCGCATCAGGCTCTCTGCTCAGGAGGGATCCTGCTTCCCTCTCTCTCTCTCTGCCTGCCTCTTTGTCTACTTGTGATCTCTCTCTGTCAAATCAATGGATAAAATCTTTTAAAAAAAAGTAGACAGTACAAGACTATACCTTAAAATATCACACTATTATATATATATATGTGTGTGTATATATATATGTGTGTGTGTATATATATATATACACACACACACATATATATATAAAGTGCTACATATTAAGGGTGATAAAGATAAGTATATATATGAAGACACATGAGTATATACATATTATATATGTGTGTGTATATATATATATATACACACACATATATATATACTTTACATCTTTCATTAATATACCAGTATCTTTCAAGTTTGGAAAAATAATAAATGTAGATACAGTACTTTTTTTTTAATGTTCCAAAGTAATCTTAGCCCTGCTCTTAGACACAAGATTTTGACGCAACCAGACATAACATTTAGAACATTTTCTGTGTCTGGGACATTCCATGGTGTCAGGCTCTAATCTATGTGTTAAGACCAGAACCTTCTGCAGAGGCTGGCATTCCACTGAGTCAGAGGTTCCTCCGCAAACCCAAGGCCCCATCCTGTTCTTGACTCCCAGCCAATAGTGTGCTCCGCTTGCTGAATTGTCCCCTCTCCTGATCCAAAGCCCTTCCAATCCGAAGCCAGCGCAGGTGGCTGCTCTGTACAAGAAAGCTTCAGGCAGGGGGAACACTGGGTTGAGAGAGCCACTGCCTTCAACACCAGGCACTTGCCTCTCTTAACACTGCCCTGCCCCTGCCAGCACATTCCTCAGGGAGTTTGTGTGGCAAACTTGATTCTGGGGGCCCAGATGCGAAAGTTCTGGTTCTAAATTTACTGGGAGACCTTGGGCAAATTTCTTAAGGTCTTCACGTCTCCTCATCTGTACAAGCAGCTTTGCGACCTCCCAGAGTTGGTATGAAAATAAAAGCGTATGGACTGATATGATTTTTTGTGGGGGAGTTAATGCACCATAAAATAGTATATGGGTATATATATTATATGTATATGTAATGTGCTCTGGATAAAATAGTATATGGTATGTAAAGCAGACTGTTTTATATAGTCCACAAGCTCTGTGAGCCTCAAATTTTGTTCCCTCTGGAGCGAGCTCTTCGTCTAGGTTTTATTTTTAGACAGAACAGTATTTTTGATTATAAGAGCATAGGATCTGGGTTCTCAGTAGTGCCTGAAAAACAGCCATGAGCCTTTGCTAATCCTTACAGCCAGTGGTAACCTTGCAGGGTCCCAGACAAAGCCTGGGGCTCTCTTCAAAAAAGCCTAAAGACTTAATCTGGACAATAACCACCCCTGTCCGGAGATGAAAATGACAAGAAAGCTTTCCATAGAAATTTTCTTGAAAGGGAGAAAATAAATGATAACACGTATCCAGAGCACTTTATAGACTATAGTGTAAATGTTACAATGATAATAACTCTTCATTTCTCTTAAACACAACCCAAGGTAACAAAGAAATGAGAATAGTAGCACATCCTAAGAGAGAGCCACGATCATGATCCCAGGGTCTTGGGATCAAGCCCCATGTCAGGCTCCCTGCTTGGCAGTTTCCCTCTGCCCCTTCCCCTGCTTATGTCCCCTCTTTCACTATCTGTCTCTGTCAAATAAATTTTAAAAAGAGAGAGAGAGAGAGCGAGCAAGCCATGGGAAGCTCCCAGTTGTTAATTTAGAAACAATGTGTTTTATAATAACATTTAAATGATTTAAAGGTATTGTACAGGGTGCCTGGGTGGCTCAGTGGGTTGGGCCGCTGCCTGCGGCTCGGGTCATGATCTCAGGGTCCTGGGATCGAGTTCCGCATTGGGCTCTCTGCTTAGCGGGGAGCCTGTTCCCCACCCCCCCGCCTGCCTCTCTGCCTATTTGTGATCTTTCTCTGTCAAATAAATAAAATCTAAAAAAAATAAAGGTATTGTACATTAACACACCATATCATAGTTACACTAACAATTAATAT